GAGGGAGATGAGGGGCGAGGGTGAGGAAGGGTCTGGGGCGAGGGGCACGAGGGGCGGGTGAGGGTGATAGGTTTGGGGTGCTTTTGGGTGATGGAGTTATGGGGCTGGGGTGGTGTGAAAGGGTTAAGGAGCTTTAGGATAAGAAAGGGATGAGGCTGTAACCATGGAAAAGGGGATGAGGAGCTTTAGAGTAAGGCTGCAGAGGGGGGAAAAGGATGAGAAATATGGACAGAGTGAGGTGGGGGAGACATGGGGCTGCAAAGGTGGAAACTGGTAAGGGTTGAGCTCTGTGGTGAGGGATTGGGCCAAAGGAGATGTGGGGCTGTGGAGGTTGGGAAGGGATGAAGAATGAACAGTAGGATGAGCAAGGTGAGGTTGGAGAGGCTTGACTGGGGTGCTTGGGATAGCGAGTCCTAATGAGGTGGAGATGGAATGAGAAAGAGGTGGCAGAGTTCCCCTTTGGGATGATGTTGGATAGTGAGTATGCTAGAAGAGGACTTGGCAAAGGGACCAAAGATGGAAAATAGTGTAGCTTTTCAGACTATTAAACTTCACTAGTCTGCCATTTGAGTAATTCCACACTTAATCTGTAACCTGAGCTCAGTGCTTTACAATAGAACAGCTGAGTCTCACCTCACCTAGTCTGATATGATGGTGGGAGAGTACTGGGGGAAGATACTACTTAGCACTTAACTCTTAAATCTCCAGTGAAAGCTGCAGTTTTCCTTAAGATCATGTTATCAGTGATTTGCAACTCTAAAATGCCCTAATTTAGCACCTTTAGCAGGTGTGGAAACTGTTTGACCTTGAAAAATACTCTCCCTGTGGGGCAGTTTTCTGTTGTAGTGGTTGGCCTTCAGTATTCTCTATGTATAGGGGGAAAAAGGCAGGGAGGAAAAGATCTAGCCAAGGCTCTGACTTGGCACCGGGTGCAGTGAGTGAATCAATCTTGCTGGAGCTTGGCTAATGCAGCGAATTACGAATGGGAAAGGATAGGAGCGATATTGCAGGATGTTGAATGTTGGACAGAGGAGGGTGATTTCTCCCTCAGGAAAGGAGAGATGTTACAAGAAGTGGACTTACAGGGACAGGCAGCACTATCGGTGCAGAGCACAGGCAGATAAGTGCAATGTTATGAGGATTCATGAGCAGAAATTGCACTATTATATCCTTACTGCTCTGTAAAAACTGCTCCAGTATGATCTGCGTCATGTTCCGCTGCCTTGATCAGGCGGTGCTACTGAAATATTTAATGAAATATGGCTTGAGCAGGCACTTGAGCTCAAAGAAAGAGCTGTTTCTCTAGAAGTCAAGCTTTTTTTGTAAATATCTGGCAGGAGTGGTTGCTGATGTGCTTGCACTGACATAGCTTGTATGCCGCCTTCCCCCATGCCAGTAGAATATAAGGTCTTCCTTGCTTGGTTTGTTCAGTGATTACACTGGATTGATGAAATGTTTAACAGGCCTGATTTTTTTTCCCTTCCTAAATAAGGAAAAGGGCTTCAGATAGGAGATTAAGGTATTTAGTTGACACTCTGGCTATAAATGCTTCCAGAAGTACTTTTTACTGTAAATTTGAAAAGGTGACACTACCTTAAGCTCCTAAAACTGCATCCAGCAGTCTCTGAGGCATCCAAAAACCTCTGAGTTCCTGTGTCTGTCAAAGGTAGTGGCAGCTGCTGTTGGAAGTGAGAGCTTCATTCCTGTATTAATGAGATTAAATTGGGTATTTAAGGGAGTTTTCATGACAAAATAACAATTTCCATGATGTAATGGATGGGATCAGTGGAACAACTTCTATTTTAGTTAGCTATCTGTAGTATCAGAGGCCAGTTTACATGGGTTGGCTCATGCCTCTCTGAGCAAGGGAATGATAGCAGTTCTTATACTCAGTTATGCGTGACTGAGGCATCTTCAGTAAAATTGAAAACGTATGGTTCTATAGATAACCCTCTTGCGTAATGTGTCTTAACTCCTGTGGGAACCTGCTGCTCCCTGGGAGTTTGTCACGGAGAAAGGAATGAGCAGTATCTGCTGATGTGATCTTGTTTGGATGCTATGGGGATGGCTTGCAATTGAAAGCAGTCTTCTCCCTCAAAGCTGAAATGTCTTAGCAATTCAGTCTGTTTTAAATGCATTTGTATCATACTGCCTAAAGCTGACAAGGAAGGATGTCTTCTGCTGGAGGTGTCCTTCACTAGTGGTGAGAAGGTGGTTGGAAGACTGATGTAGCTGGTGAATGTGCTGCTCCTTCTGTCTCGTTGCAGCAAAATCCATGAAGTGCAACTTTGTTCATGTGCCTTTTCACTGAAAATATTCCATGAAAGTGGAATATTTATGTGGCTTCCAAAGAAGCATGGTGTAAGTCTGAAATGATACACATGCTTGTATGTCTAAGTACATGTGACCTAGGTTTTTCAAACTGAAGCAAATGTGTAGCCCGTTTGAGGAGCTTTCTGAAGCAACTGCCTTTATTCTGGCATGTGGAAACACAGGCTCTGAGGAGCTTAGAGGAAGCAGGCTGAATTTGGACCCAACGCACAAGGCTGTGACCTCAGAGGTTAATTACCTTTAAACTCACTCCAGTCCTGGATTCACTGACAGCTAGAAAGTCTTGGTAATTTAATACTGCTCTGCTTGTGTGCTAAGGCTGGAATGTATGGACTCTGCCTCTATCCCTGTATAAACTTGTTTTAGATGGATCGTTCCTAAAAGCTCTGAGAATACTAACATTGGATGGTACATGCAGAGTATTTCCCCTGTGAAACTGCATCTAATACTCGAAAAACCTTCTTGAAGTCAAAACATGTTGCCACCTGAGTATCTTAGGAAAGATGCTTAAGCTTTGAGAGGCATCTTATAAATGCCTAGGTGGGAAGCTGATGGTTGAAATGACCTACTAGCTGCTAGGTAATGCCTGTGGTTGTGAATTCAGTTGGATGTAACACTGCTGTACTTCCAGCAGACACTGATTTGAGCAATAAACAGTGCCTTTACACAGCAGCATTTGATCTTGCCTAGCTTAATCTGTAAACTCCACCTGCGATGTACTGCTGCTGTTCTTAGTTGAATGCTTCATGACTTCCAGCTTCATTTCCTGGAGAAGGTAGCCAGGTTTGCCCACAGCATGTGGGCACCTCTACTTGTGTGTTAGGCAAAAGCAGTGAAATCCTTTCACATCATCCATCACAAAAAGCTGCAGCTGGCAGGTCTTTTTGAGCTTAACTAGCAGTCTGTACCTCTGCTGTTACTCCTATCTGCAGAAGCCACCCTGAAGATTCTTGTATCCAATGATAAAGCAGTGGTGTTGAGCAACAGTCCGCATGCAGTGGCGTCATGCTTGAGATAAAAACAAGCTCCACTTGCACTTCAAACTGACTATAATGTGCTGGTTAGTGTAAAAGCATGCCAAGAGGCAAAGCTATTTGAGTTGAAATGGGGCTTTCCACTTGACCTGCCAGGAGGGCCACTTTCTGCTGTGGAAGCAGTGAGGCTGTCGTGACAGTAGCTCGGACAGTAACTGGTAACATGAACTGGTTTGTGCTGTGTTTTAGTTTTGCAAGGGTCACTCCCATGAACGTTACCTGTAATGTCTGCAGGATCCCAAGCTGTGACCTATCCCTGCTATAGGCATAAGATTAATCAAAGCTATACTGACAATGGCATAGCCTTGTGTGCAGTTGTTTCCGTTGGAGGAGGCTTAACTGATTTGGTAACTATTCTGTTGGAGCTCCTGGTCCTTCAACTTGCAACACATTGTCAGCATTACTAAACAGCTTCCATTCAAGAGTGTGGTTAACTCAGGGAATACAGAGTGCAAAGACTGTTACTTGGCTTAACATATACCGGTGCTAAGCTGATGTGAGTGTTTAAAATGATACTTTTCTGAAGCAGAGCATTAAAGCAGTTACTAGGCAGGAGTAATGAGTCCAATAAACTTTCTAGCAGAGCTGTGTGTTTAAGTTGCCATACAGAAGCAGAAATTACAAATGATTCTGGCAAATCCAGTTGCCAGAAAGTTGAAGCAGAATGCCTGCTGTCAGGATGAGTGATACCGTGTGTGTAGCCTTACAGATCCATACAGTTCCAGTTTGAGACTTACCTTCCAGGCAGGAGATCCTGGATGGCCTAGAAACGCAAGCCTGGAAGCAGACACTGTTAAGGTGTAGAGCTCTGTGCTGTGAACTAAGGACTGGCTGTGCTTTTGGTAAGCTGCTGCTGGTCAGGTGACAGTTTCATGGTCAGCAGCTTATCAGTTACCCACACATCTTGTGTTTGGGTCACAGCCCTGTACTCAGAGTAACCACCCAAAACTTCCCCTGGTAAATGATATTATGTCTTCCAGCTGGGAATATAAGGGTCTCTTGAATCCTAGCACTGAATAGTTATTTCTATCTTGAATAAACTGGTTATTCTGTTACACTTGTGCATCACAGTCCACTCCTCTGAGTGGAATAAGATACTCTGCATGAGAAAGAGCTCAGTTCATGCTATTAAATCTCAACCTCCAGCAGAGTTGCCAGAGACTGAATTTGCCTCAAGTTCAAAGCTGAACTTTAGGCATCTCTGCAGTGGATTCACAAGACTGCAGTGTCCAAGTCAGTGGTTTGTGTGCTGTGAACTGCGATCTTAGGGAAACTGGCAAACAGTAGCTTAACTAAACCCCCTTAGTGCTGGTATTTCCAACAAGTGCTGTAAAGCCATTTAGACTGTGGCTGGCATACTGCATTATAACAACTCGGGAGAAGCAGCCAGGTTTTCTCATCAAACTTGCTCTTGGCGAGGGACTGTGGCAAGCATCAGGATGCACAGCTTTCATTGGGTAATGATTTGGTTTGGCTTAGGAGCTGCTTCTGACCTTGGTTTGGCTCTTGCTGGCACGTAGTCTGCTTGAACATGAACCTCAATATCTAGGTGATAGGAAGTTGATCTCCGCAATGTGGACAACTAATAAAACCCTTAAAACCTGGTTAGAGTTGGGGAGGACTTGCTTTCCAGGGCTCCCATCTATGCAGGATATTAAACTAGCTGCTTTAGCACACCTGGATGGCTTGACGCTTTAGGCTTGACTAGCAGTCTCTTTTTGCAGTGTTATGTGAAGACCAACTAATCTGGGGGCCTGAGGTGCTCTGGGAGTGGACCAAGACCTACTTTCCTTGCAAGACTGAAATTGTCTGTCAATAGCTGCTACTCATGTAGCAAGGCAGAAAAGGGTAGGAGGTAAAAAAAAAAATTAGCCCTAAGGAATAGACTGAAGATGCATTTAAAAAAATCTTAGTGTGTAAACAGCAGCAGGAAACCATTACCTCTGAATTGTTTTGCTAAACTGTATCTGAGGTGGGTTTTATCAGTGTTCTGGAGAGACCAAGACCAGTGCTTTTAGAGTGGAGAGAGAACCTAGTTTCCTCATCTTGTTTTAAATGAGAGCTCTAATGTTTTTGTAACTGAAATTCAAACCAGTGTTATGCTGACCCTGCATATTTTCTCTCCTCTGCTGGCTAGCCTGGACTACTTCTGCATGCAGTATAGTTCATTTATTTTGGAGACTTGAAAACAAGCCATTATCACCCTTTGGTGCCAGATAAATAAATGATCTAACTGGGGGCTGATCCCAAGCACTCTTTTGTAAAAGTACAACTGCATGTCACACTTATCATCCTTGTTCTGTCCTTGAATATATGATCGGTCTTCCTGGATGACATCCAGAAACCAGTGGCTTAACCCAACAAGCAGTAACTACAGAACATTCAGATTTCTATGCCACTTAATTTCCTATCATCACTTATGTGCAGCAAGTGGTCTTCCAGAATACACTTAATCTGAGCGCTGTTTAACCTACAACTTGCTTATCAATCATATGGCAGTACAAATAGGAGGAAGAAGAATCAACTAGTAAAATAGTGTCAATGCTGGATCTTTGCTTCCAGGTAACAAGAGCTTCAGGGTTTTTTTTGTGGGGAGGGAGAAGGCATGCATGCAGGGTAAAAATACTCCTCCCCTTTTATGAGGGGAATATCTGAGCAAGTACGCTGGCCTGTGCAGTCTGGCTCTGGGTACTCCCAGAGGAGTGATTTGAGGGTTTGAACTATTGCTCCTTAGAGTAGTGTGGCTGGCCAGCTAACTCCCAAGAGCTCAAAAAATAACCCAAAACAAATGCACAGCTTGGTTTAACACTAACACATCTAGTGTGCATGTCCTGTTTGCTGTCTGAAGCATATCTGGGGGAATTGGCTGGTGATGTAGGTTTGTTCTTGTTCTTTTTCTTGGCTCCTGTTCTGCTTGTAACTTCAGTGGACAGAGGGAAAAGGCTTACACCTCTCAGTGCAGGAGTTATCCTGGTTGTTTCCAAGATCATAGTGTTTGTGTGGCTCTGGCTGCCATTCACATGATTGTCACAGCCAAAAAGTCAAAACATTTAGCTCCTTCTGGGGGCTGAAAAGGGGAGTTACTTGACAGTTACCTGTGCCCTTCATACTGTTACAGTTATTGCTGGCCTTTATAATTGGAGCTTTTTCTTCTGCTTTGCAGTTTCTGCAATCACCTTTCCTGTTCGTCATCTTCCACATATGGTCTGTTCAAAACTCTCAATATGCGGCTGCACAGTAGTAGATCTCTCAGTCTGCTGGAGAAATGGCATTGAACCAGATAACATGTGTCCTCTTCCAGATGGTCACCATGGGATAGTTTGTGTGACAATTCAGGATGCCATTTGGAAATAAGTTTTTGACCATACAGTACTAGTGGGATCTCTAATCTTTGGAAGCATATGAGCTGGGCTGGAGTGCCAGATAACAGTATATCTACCATGACCCTTCAGCTGCGTACTAGTCCCCAGTTAAGCTGTGTATAAAAGAGTTTGGGTTCCCATCCAGTGCATTTTGTGCTAGCGTCTTCCATAAATGTCTGTTCATCTACTGGGCCTGATGTTAAATTGTTAAAATTCTTTTACTGGTTAGGAACAGTAGAATATACTTGTGGGCAAGTAATAGTCTCTGGTGTGATGGCTTAAGATAGAGCCTTACTACTTTCTCTCAGGGTATTCTTGGCCTGTTCATGGCTAGATTTAAGTAATATCACTTTGCCTATGTAAAACCTAATGCATCTCAGGGATGTTCAGTGTAAACTTGACTCTGTACTCCTTGTGCAGAGGGAAGAAGATACAAAGAAATTTGTTCAAGTCACTTCATGGAAAGCTACGCTTATACAAAAAACCCCAGGGCTCAATAACTGCAAGCTACTAAACATATGTTTATCACACTACAAACTTCCAGCTCATTCCAGCAGCATTCTAGTATTTTCCTGAGCTGCACTTTGCAGCTTTTTCTTCCTCATTAACTAAGCTCCCAAATTAACGCTCTTTCCAAGAGATCAGTTCCAGTTCTGTGTTAAGGCTTGGTTACTGAATAACTGGGTGTAATGAATGCCTAAATTTATCATTGGTATGATAATAGCTACACTGTTCCCTTAACTTCAGCCTCTTTCAGAAGCTTTTGGTCAACAGACTCGCTGTCTGGGTGGCTTTGTGAGGAGTCTCTGTAGGTATTTCTAAATATCTCACTTGCAGGATCCTTCAGGGAACCTGACAATGAGCTGCCTTGACTGTGGATCACAACCTCATTCTGCCTCCTTGGAATTTATTAATTGATCTGTCCTTGATGGAATTCACCAATCTTAAGTTTTAGGGGCCTTTCCACTGACAAAGCCACAGGCTGGTAAGCAGCCCATGGTCAAAAATTCCTGCTAGGCAAAGCTTTAAGTCCCTACACAGCAGTTACTGTATTAAGATGGAATATACCACAGCTTACAAAAGACAAATTCTTTAAGTGATTATGGAATAAGACTTCATGTTACATGCAGAAATGGCTGCAGACCAAATTATTTGGAGATCCCGCCTCTAGGAAATAGAATAAGAAAGCTGCTGCAGTTCTGTGCTTCAAGCATTCTCAGTAAAATTGCTTTGTGGTTGAAAAAACTAGTCTGACCTAGAAAGGTGTTGTAGGAGAGGTGTTGGCAATAGTTCCCTAAGCTTTAATACTAAGGGTATATTGTCTAATAAGGGCAGAGTCTAATGTTAATGTGTCTAAATACTTCAGTTGTGTTTATAACATCTTTACCATGCAATATACTGTCCATCTTGCATCTAAATTGGTGTGGTCAGGGTAGAAGTGCTGTGCAAATGAAGGCAATGCTTTGTTTATCTCTAGCAGCATTCAGTTCATTAATATTGTACCTACCTGTAACTTGGAAAATGAATGGAAGCCTGCCAGTGACAAATATTAAATAAAAATGGGTCCCTTTTTGCTTCAGTGACTGCCCAGCATCCTTTCTAATTCTTACTGGTGTGGTTATGCTAGTGCCATATAATGCTTCATTTTCTTGTTCACTGTTGATGTACAGATTAAATAACTTCTTTAATTGTCTGGGTAATAGTGATATCTTTTCAAATAACAATAAGAATAATGGCTAATTCTTTCACTGAAGAAATTTTCAAGATATTGGACTAGGTTGAGAGCAAACCAAGAAGCCAAGGCTGGAAGCTTCTCGGCTCCATTGTATCTGATAAAGCAAGTGAGAGCCCAGAACTTTCCTTCATTAATTCATTTGCCTTACAGGACAAACTGTAGCTCTGAGTTGTTTGATGTAAGCAGCTAAGACTAAAGCTATACAAGCCTGTCTTTTTGCATCTGAAAGGGTTTAGGCTTGTTATAACGCTGTCACCCTTCCAACCTTGCAGGAAAGAATGAAAACATAGAAGGCTTAAATGACTGAATACATCTCAAACTGTTTATACCTGGGCTTGTAGTTTAATGTTAGATCTGCATTCCTCAGACTTCTAAGTAGAAGTTTAGGCACAGACTTAAACTGCAGATTGTGTAGGGCAAGCCTGAAAGTCTGGGTAGCTTTTGTTGTCAGTTAGGTGCACAGTTTCACTTGTGGCATATGTGGGGAGGATGTATCCAAAGTGATGGACAAGTGTCACTGTTTGCGATCTAGTGGGATTTGGAGTATGGCTTTAGTGTGTAACTGCCAACACTTCTGAAATCAGCTTAAACACAGCAAATGGGAGTCACACCTGCTCCTTGTGGTAGGAAGTCTTTAATAGCAAGCATGTGAGAAGGCACATACATGTGTTCAGTTTTTTCCATCCAGCAAAGAAATCTGGGATCAGGCCACTCAAGATCCTTCCCAGATGGCTGGTTATGTTATCCTGTGTGTGTCCTAAAGTAAACTGGAGTCTGTTTTGATTGCACTGTTTTCTTCAGTAGGAATGAATGTTTCATACTGAACCTCAGAAACTTGTGTCTATGCTAGTTTCAGTTCCATGTTTTGAAGGCTGCTAACACTTTACTTGCAGAGTTTTACACTCCATGCCAGTGGAGGTCTAAGCCTGGCTGAAGCTTATTGTTACAGGACAAGTATTCTTTCATTGGGGAAAATACAGAATATAGTTACACATCTTGCATTCCATCCTGTTTTTCCAGACTTCATGTATGATGAGTGGTGAGTAAGGGCATACTAAGGCCTCAGAGGAAGGTGAGCTGAGAAAGTTTTCCTAGCTACAACACTTTTGGGTTATCTGCAGTCAGTGCAAACTGCAGCATGTGTAAGGAGGAAGAACTTTACAAACACCACATGAATTTTTTCTGCAGGATTTATTTTTTCCTAGCAAATCAACAACTTGTTATTCCCTGTCTACCCCAATTAGTTAACTTAGACTCACTGCAACTTGCTTGAAAACCAGAATGGAAGCTAAGGATAGTAATGTGTCACATCATGGCTGTTCTAATGTGGAATTTCAACTTAGAAATGTAAGTATCTTTTTTGGCTTTATAAAGGCTTAAAAGAAAATAGAAGTGACCTTTTGAACTATGGCCGGTTTACTATATGGTGATCTGTACTTCTCCAGAGAAGTTCATGGGTCAAAAGCCTGCCCAGTTACTTTGCGGAAGTATTTTGATAGAGGCAATATGTTGACCTTTGAAATTTGCTGCTGGAAGAAGAAAAACTTAAAGCTCTTACAGGATAATAAATGTATTTCACTTAAATGAGATAACAGGGATGTGGTGTGCCTGGCTTCTCTATTAAATCTTGACTGCTACACAAAGCAACATTAAGATATTTCAAGTCTATTTAGGCTCTTAAAACCTAAAATACTTATGTATGTTATGCTTAACTGCTCATTGCTTTAATCAAATCTTATTCCTCCAAAAAAATCTGGCAGGTGATTGTTCAAATAGTAAACACATTAGCTTATTGCATAAGCTGGTACTGTAATTGGAAAGGAAAAATGCCTAAGCACAGTGTTCTCAGTAAAGCTGCTAAAATAAAATACAGCCCAGAAGGGCAAGCTACACTTTTCATTAAAATAAGCTTGAACAACCATGAAATTTTTCACATAAGGGCTTCTTCACTCTGACAGGTGATTAAAATGTAAAATGTCAAATACTTCCACGTGCTGCCCAGTAACTTGGATCAACTTGAAGATCTTTGTTAGTCAAATACTAAATGTACTTTCTTGTTCATAAGCTATGAGAATCAAATATTCTTCCTCAGGTTCCAGTGTCATTGCTGAAGGTGCACAACTACACCTGCAGCCCATGCAAATGTCTGTGCCTTTGTAGAACCTGGCAGCGAGGCAACTGTGTGTGCATGCTCACAACTGAACATGAAAGAATTGCAAGCAGCAACCTCTGCTTATAGAGCCATGAGGAAGTTATTAGTGTGGCAAGGAAGGAGTGAGCCTGCTTTTTTTTCATGAATTTATCTTTCTCTAACTTCTGTTACTGATAATAAGCTGAGAATATGCTATAATCCTGGTTACAACTTGGGCCCATCATTACTTGTCTGATCAAGATCATTTTGTGTTGTCCTTTCAACAGCTTTTACATTTGAAACCTACTGTCAAGCCTTTGTTTAAATAAGTAGCATAATTTTACGTCCTTCAGGCTTGTAGTCATGCTTTCTGGCTCTTGTCCTTCCTATTATTTCCTCCCCCAGCTTTTCTAGTTGGCTCAGTCTATATACTGCATGCTTTGCTCACTGAAGTGTTTGGGTTGAATGTTGTGCTTGATGAGGAATCATTAGTCATGTGAGGTCATCCTCACCTCTAGTATAACACTAGGACAAAAATAAGAATATCTGCTTTCAACAGGGGGTACTGACTTGGGTTCTGCTTCTCTGCTATAAACCACAGGTCTTCCTGAAAAAATGTGTAATCCCTTCTCTAGTTAACCTGCTAGCAGGAACAGTGTTTGTATGAATATTTGCTGGGGTTTGTTTTTATTTCAGACTACCCTTTGCATTCCTTGCAGATCTCTGTTCACTAAGCCTGCTTTCAGTGCATGAGCTGATGATACTTCTGGACCAACACTAGAAAGCTCCTCAAAGCCTATTTAGAGATAACTATTTCAGTCTGCTGTTCTTAATAGCAAAAGTTGTGGAGCTGTTGTAATGTTCTCTAAGTCCATCTGAGTGTCTTACCCACTTCTATGCTGGTTTCATCCAAGGTTGCCAGAGCCTTAATATAGGGATGCATGGCACCTACTACTGCTTATTAATAAAAGACCTGTGAAATCCTACATAACTCCTGATTTACTAAAATCTTCATGGGTTTCAGTAGGGTTTTTCCTGGAAGACTTCTTGAGTCACCAAATTCAGGCAGTTTCAGTTGTCTACAATCAATTCTAAGTCTCTAACTGCAACCAGAGACAGCCTATAACAAGCCATCCAATGTGCCAAAGTGCTTGTAACAGGCTTTTTAGAAATTCCAGGCAAAGTTAATGTCACCACAGTTGGTCCTGGATAACTTTGATGGGTGCTCAAAGCATCATCACTTGACTTTTTTGGTTTGCCTGCTCTTAACAGCCATATGCTTTAAGTGGGTATTTAACACTTCAAATACTTAGGACTAATATGTACATCACTGTATCAAGGTAATAACTTTTTGTCCGCTCTTCAAGGACTTGGCCAAGTACATGGTAAAGTTGTTCCTTAACCTGAATGACAAGTCTATTAATTCCAACAAACTGTTACCTATAAACACCTTGCAAACAGTGAGGGAACCAGTCCAAAGCAGTAAAATAATTCAGGGCAAATGTGCTATCTGTTATCAACTCTGTGTGTGATAAATGGGTTTAGCTAGTTCTGGTGTTAGAGAAAGGAATCCTCCAAGTGTTGCTGTCCTCATGGGAACTGGGTTGGAAGCCAAGCCACTATCTACTACCAGAATAAACTGATAAGAGAAAGTATTCAGTTAAAAGTAGAGCAGTTCTTTACAGAAATAGTCTGAAGACCTAACACTCTTGAAAATATGAGATTAGGTAGTATTATGTAGTATTCATTCAAGTCCTTGACTTTGGTTTTGCAACTTCAACTCATCCTGTTGTTGCAGGAATTAGGACTGTCCTCCTCTTTTCCCCCACAGATGTAAGCCTGTGATCTCCTCCATACTACAGAAATAAAGCATCCCTTTCTGAAATTTCTCTAGTCAAAAAACACCTAGTGGCTTCAACCAGGAGCATGTGTGCTCATATCATATTTTCTGACTTCCACGCGTGATTAGTGATGCTCCTTGCTTGGGTTGCTGCTGTGGGCAGTTGTAGCCATCTCTCAGAAGATGAACATCAAGTTAGTTTTGAAAATAGAGAAATCAGTATATTATAGCAAGTAGAAGCCACCAAGAGTTGATCAGGAGTGACAGATCAGGGAGCTGGGAATATAACACCTAGACTACTTTCTATAGGAGCAGCAAGAAGGCTCTGCATCTGGTACACTTTTAGGATCAGAGAACAGAAAGCAGTGAAAGCTTAAAGCAAAGAGCTGAATGCCCTAGCTTGTGGTATGCCTGTTCTCAACAGCTTCTCATGAATCACAAAGATTAAACCAGAGCAACAAGTAGAGGCTAAAATCTTGTACCAGTATTTCTTCTACCATGCAAGTGCAGAAGCAGAGGTAAAGCCAGACTGGGAGTGGAACAAAATTAGGAAAGGTCAGTGGTGTGACAACAAACTCTAAACAGCACAAACTCTAAACAGCACAATAAGTATATGGATGACAGAAGATGAATGGAGAGCTATTTAACTGCCTTCATGAAGCCCATGCTATGTGGTGTTACTCAAGAATGGTCTAGTAGTTTAGAGAAGGCTGCTGTGACCTGAGATGTATAAGCAGATAGCTTCAGTGCATTAAAGGCGGCATTCTTTGATCGGCTCTCAATTTGGCTAGTTCTCTATGTTCTGTGAATAGCCATACAGTCCCTGAGATAGGACATCCCTCAAGGTTATGTTCATGTTAGACTAATTGTAAAGACTTCTCTAAGCAAGACATTGCTGTTCCTGTTTATCCTTCAAATCAACACTCAACAAATTTTACTTGCTACTCTCCAAGCTGTAGTTGGTATGCATTTTAATAAATGTAAAGCAGATACTTGAAGTCAGTTCTGGGGTCCTGAATTTAACTTGTAGCTGCTATTTACATTGAAAGTATACTCGTGTAGATTACGGAGTCCTTTTTTTTTCTCCTTCCTCTATAGATGGCTTATGATAACTGCATGTGTATTTTGATGTCTCTCTAAACAATAAAGGCACAAAACCAACCTACTTTGTCAGGTGTTCAGGTTGCTGCTTCTTTCCCCACCTCCCAGCTGAATTTCCCACTTGGCTTGGGACTTCAGGATCCATCCAGGGTAATAGAATGAGGAAAAACTATTGCTTGTTCTCTGATTCTAGTGAATGCACCTCAGAGTAGAGGATCTGATGTCTTTGAGGATATTAGCTGTCTAGTAGGATAACCTGCTGACTTAGCTGTTGCACTGAAGTATTATGCTATTCCCTGTACTGAAATTCTGGCCTTTCCCTCATTGTCATGTTCTTCTTACATGCTCCTTTCAGTGCCTGCAAGTATTACAGCAGCTCTGCCTACCTACAGAAATACCTGTGATACTATCTGACCACAAATTCATTCTGCCTCTGAGAATGATCTCGAAAGGTACACTAGCTGGTGTGCAATTAGCTGTGCATAAAGAAACAACCACTAGATTAGCTTTGCTTTCTAAACAATCAATGATGCTTGTATAGGCTGAACTTCTCACTACCACGTTCTTTATGCCAGCAACCCCACATCTAGAAAATGACTCAAGTGCAATCATTTTGAATCTTACAGCCAAATTAATGTTGGCTATGATTTGTTGATTTTAAATGCCCTTTTTATGTAAATAAACTCTCCTACTAGAAAAAGCCTGCCTAGTCCAGTAGAAACTATTACAACAATATTTTGTCCTTACGGACACTTAAGAAAAGCTGCTTTAGCGTATGTAAGATTGATTCACTGAGGATGTTTTAGGTAATTTAAGACTGCATACCAACCTCTAACAGTAAATGCTTCTGAGAGACTAGATGCTTTTCAAACAGCATTTGCTGTTTGGGTTTTTTTTTGGGGGGGAGGGATAATAGAATATTGATTTGCCTTATGAACAAGTTAGTGAAATGTAGGTTAGCATCTCTACTGCCTTGTGGTAGCCCCAGCTGGCTTGTAACAAATAGTTATATTGCAGCTGGCAAAACTGCTATGCTGATTCCTCTTAACCACTCTGCCCCTGGAAAATGTGTCTATGGAGATTTAAAGGGGTACAAGATCTGTGCTGTAGATCATACAAGAATGCTTACACTTGCATGGATGAGATCTGCCCCCATCTATCTCCTAGTGCAGCTTTGTCCCTAAAGAATTCCTTAGGTCATATGTAAAACTTCCCTTGAAGGATGGCAGCTGTATATTTTGCAGCAAGCATATGGGAAAAGCTGATGCACTGACAGAGCATGATCAAATTGTCTGAACCTGACAGGGCTAAACCTAGACTGCGAGGTGCGTTTACTTCCACCTGCCGAAGGTGACTGCGAGCTGTAAGAACGGCTGTAGTGACTGCACTGATACAACGGCAGCCTGTAAAAGCGCTTCAGCTTTGGTAAAGAACTGCTGCAAGACTCATCCCCTAAGTGGTCCAGATGTATGCTGTTAAAGCGGCATGGATGCTGGACCTTGTGCGTCCTGCAAGAGGAGACTGGCTGACAGTCATTCCCAAATTAGGTAAAAATGCCAAATTCTGACAAGCCTTTGCCAAGTGTTTCGTATTTCTACAGAGTCACAAATGGAAGGGTCTGTGTCCTCTAAATATTTCCCTGCTAGCAGGTCTTTATGTATCAAGTCTAACTGCCAAGCACTTGTAGCCTCTTATTATTTTAGCATGTGTCAGTAAATATCTTATCCTGCCAGTTCTAACAGGGTTACAGCTTGGCAAAACACATTACTAAAATAGCATTCGTTCATAGTCCAAAATCAAAATATGTCCCGATCAAGCTGCTCTTAAATGTGGCCACCAGCTTTCTACAGGGCTGCTTATAAACCAGCTGGCTAAATCATATTACTTGCCCTAAACCAGATGGTTTGTAAATATACTGTATCTGCCAAAGTGCTGTCTGTTTGCTACCTGTATTTCTTTCTCCTAGAAGGTGTAACTCTTAAGTGGTATGCTTCACCTACTTTGCTTAAAGTACTGGTTGTGGAAGTTCTTACTGTATTAACGTTCTTAAGTGCTGTAGATACAGTCTGTTGCGGTGATGCAACCCTTCTAAGCACAGTTTTATCCATGTTATTGGCCAGGCGGTATTCCTCTGGTGTTCTTAAGATTTATTAATTTTATTAATTATTGGTGGTAAAAGGGGATTCTTAATTTTGGTTCTTTATCTTACACCTTACTTAAAATATACAGGCTATGCATCACTGCTAGGTCAGTTCAAATGTTTATTTAAATTCAGAAACTAAATCAAATAGCTATACTTCATGGCAATGAACATAAACATGTCTGTCATGCTGGTATTTGGGACAGCCTGAAAAACTGGAGCAAGGATCTGCTCGAGTGCTCTAGCTGTACTTTTTATGGAGTGTGCTTTCTCAACGCTTGTTCGCAATCACTTGTGCCTCAAAAAGGAGGCACTGAAGATGTTTACCAAAGGTGCTGCACCATAAAACTGCTGCTCTAACCTATAGCTGTTTCCTCTATTAGCACCACCTAATGCATTCCAGGCTTGAGGTCATGTAGCTGAGAAGCTGCAATTTTACCGCACCCTTTGCAGTGTGGTTGCGTTAGAAGGAAGGCAAGGCCTCCCTGGATGCCAGGGAAGAAGTAAAAAAGAAATAAAAATTTATCTCTAAACACTTTTATTCCTTTCTTTCAGTGCTATAGCAGTCAGCTCCATTTAATACCTCATTGGGGATGTTAGAATATTTTTCTTGGCCCAGATGGAGGGAAGCTCTGCAAAGTCGGGGTGGGGAAGAGGCGGAAGGGAAGGGATCTCTCTCATTTTCACTGACAAGAGACAGTTTCCAGCAATCGTGCTGAATCAGTATGGGCTTAGACTGCTGGTTAGGCTGTAAGCGGTTGCTTAGTACCAAGCTATCACAGTGCTGTTGTACCAGTTGATCTGCGAGTCATAGAATCATAGAATTGTTTAGGGTGGAAAAGATACCCTTCTGTCAGGCAGTTGTAGAGAGAGATAAGGTCTCCCCTCAGTTTCCTGTTTTCCAGGCTAAACAACCCCAGTTCCCTCAGCTGTTCCTTGTAAGACAGCAAAATGAGAATATTTAGTGCAAGATGATATAACCAGTTATATGTAGTTGTTTACAAACTCTTTGGAGAATCTGAAATGTGAGAAACCCTCTTCTATGTTGTTTTGGTTTTCCTCTCAGGGAGTAATTATTTCCTCAGAGTTGGTAAAATCTGGCCAAAACCTAACTTCTCTGTCTTTGTTGGAGGGTGAACAAAATTCAAAGGGTGCTTTCAAAAGCTTACTTTAACAGAGTTTTCTGAGATTGAATGATGGTAATGCATTTAGGGACTAGTAATTGGAGATAATTCCAATGAATTAGACTTTGCAGACGTTAATGATATGCTAGAGGAAGTCAGCTTATGAAGATCTATGCTGTGCTCTTTTTTGTCTTGATCTATTGAATAGCTTCTGTAATTGTCTAATGCATATTCTGTCAGTATTTGGATTTCTTAAGCATTTACAGCCTGAAGAAAACCAGCCTGCAAATTTTCAGAGCAGTGAATATAATTAGTTCAAATGCCAGTACATGAAAATGAAGTACCGTGCTCTTCAGCGCAGGTACAGTAACATCTGCAAGGAATATCTAACTTTGCATATACAGAGTAAGTAATCGGTCCTGGCTTGACTATTTTTTCTGGATGAATATTCATGCCACACACTAGTGTCAACCTATTATAGAAAGTATTGCTTATTCTGGAGAGTAATTTGCAAGTGGTTGCACTGGAATACTTCAGTATACTGTGGGTAATGGCTTTAAACTAAACCAGGGTAGGTTTAGACTGGATATAAGGAAGAAATTCTTTACAATGAGGGTGGTAAAACACTGGAACGGGTTGCCCAGGGAGGTAGTGGAGGCCCCATCCCTGGAAACATTCAAGGCCAGGTTGGATGGGGCTCTGAGCAACCTGATCTGGTTAAAGGTGTCCCTGCTCACTGCAGGGGGGTTGGATTAGATGACCTCTAGCGATCCCTTCCAACCCAAAACATTCTATGATTCTATGATTTCCCATGCTGTGCAATCAGCAGGACAGCCTTGGTGAAAGAACTTGTAAAAAACCCGCCAGTGGCGCCGATGTACTGATAGGCTTATTCTTGTACCACCAGCCCCACCGGGTTAGACGTTGTCCTTCCTTCGGCAGGAAGGTAAGATTGTTCCAGTTAATCCACTTGGTAATGTATTAAGATGTTCCCTGATGATAGCCTTAATTTTGTTTTCCTCTGTTGTCCTACCTCATTGAGACAGAGGGAGGAATGAATCAATTTAATTCTGATGGGAGATAACGCTTGTGTTCAACATGGTTTAAAAAACTCTAGAGGATCTTTTAGTAGGGCATGCCTAAGCTGGGCCATACTTGGCTTGTGCCAGACTGAAGTTTACTGTGCCTATCTGACCGAATTAGTGGATTTTCTTAGTGAAAGTTATTTGCAGCAGTGTCAGACCATAATAGCATATTTGCACGCTGGCCTGAGTGATCTCCATCCCCTTGAGTTTGAGTTCTTTGTGGTGACTAAGTTGTTACTTTTTGATTTTGGAAGTACTTAGCTGTTAGAGCTTGCTATCTTGCCCATAATGTTTATCCAATTTTGGGGGTAGAACCTGCTACTTGGAGAGCCAGCTGTCACGAATAAAGCATGCCTTGTCTTTGCTATAGCATGGAACTGCTTCTTAGTGCCTGCTTTATCAGCATCACTGGTCCCAGATGTTTTCTGCTAGCTGGGAAGGCTTCTCTATTGCTATTTATGCCCATACCACCTTAGCTGTTTACTTGTTTAATGTATCCTTATTAATAAACATGAGGGTAACAGGAGCATATATGAAGGTTTTTTACCTAATAGTAGAACAGAAAATAAGTTTAATCAGATAATGCTACCTCCCCAGTTTAAGAAAGTGAAGTATTTACTACTAAAAACAGCAGCAGCAGTGATTTAACAATGTAATCTGATCTAATATTAGTAACAGCCTGTGCCTTTAGGGAGCAGTATAATATCCAATCCACTGAATAAAGTCTGTCTCACATTAAATTCTGGATCCCTTTTAAAAAGATGGCTTCCCAGAATTGTTTTAGTAATTTCATAAAGACCCATGGTTTCCTACGTCTTTTTCCCAGTAATATAATCAGGCTGGGGAAATTACGTTGGCCCCCAAAATATAAAGAATGAGGAAATAGTGCTGTCTTACCAAGATACTCTCCCTGATCTCATGAGGACCTTCACCTCTCCACCTCATACCTTGTAAGCTTTCTATTCCTCCCCATGTGTCTGGGCAGGAAAAAGTCCATCGGGGAGTTTGTTGCACACAGATTGCCATCTGTGACTGTGTCACCATGTCTTCAGCATAAGCCAAAATCTTACTCTCGTTCACTTCCTGAGTAAGCTGGAAGGAGG